GATCTTGCTACGGCACGAAAAGTGCAAAAACGCATAATCGCACTGGCCCGCCTGGTGCGTTCCAGCTTGGGTCCTAGCCTCACTTTCTCTCAGAATTAGTTTTTCTGATACACTTTTATCGCCACTGGTGTTTTTTCTTCCTTGTCTGCCCCATTATATGTGCCGTATGTGCTTATTATCCTTCTCCGTATCCTCTCTCATTCAACTTCTGCGTTAAAAAGACGTGGGAGGACTGAGCAGACAGTGTCGTGACGAATCGCGAAAAAAAAAAAAGAAATGGTTCATCATTCTTACGAGGCCATGAACGTGATACATTTTATCGGCCGATGGATTTCGATCGCCGATCGAATATCCTCACAGTGTTATTTATTAAAAGTATTTTGAATTGTTTATCGGCTGGCAACATTTTTCAATTTGTTGTTTTGTGCATGTGTTATAATATTTAGGTTCGGAGAGGAAGGGGGCAGAGCTCCAACTACCCCGCCCCATTTCTTTTTTCAGCTCAAATCACTCTGGCTAAAACTGCGTCAGCAGGACAATTAGGTCCCCTCTGGTGGGGAAAATAGCTGGCCAGCCGGCCCTCTCAGTAACCCACTAAAGTAGAACCGCCGGCCTCAAGCATTCGCTGTCGTCCACCGAAGTAAAGGCCACTTATCACAAAATATTTTGTTGCCGTTCGCCCGAAAGGATTGAAAGGCAGTTTTTGAACCGTTGGGGAAGTTACGCAACAGATGGATTTGAAAATGAATGTTGAATCGGATTCGGTATAACACCGCTGTCTTATTGTTATCGGCTCTGTTTTAAAAGTAAGGGATCTATCTGGCTCCAAACGTATTTGGTTGGAGGAGAGTATCTATTTCGGTACGAAAAATGTAAAAGATTTGCGGCGATCAATTGATATTGACGACAAAGTTCATCCTGTGGACACTTCTTTCTCTTTTCAAACTCAAAAGAGGCGAGACACCGCCGACATTTTTTTGGATTCACGGCGGGAGTGATCTACCTTTAGGCGTTTTTGTGCCTTTATACACATATAACTCAGGAGTACGTGAACTCTGATTTTAAGCAGTTTGGCTGGCAGACGGATCAAGAACATTCTCGTAAGATTCCAGCTTCTTAGCTTCTGCGTTTGCTGAGTTGAATGTGGATGACAAAAATCCGAACACACACATAACTTCTCGACAGTATGCATTTTTGCATTTGCACGAAGATGCAAAAACGCACAATGGTAAGAAGGTGCCTGTGTGTGTATTCGGATTTCCGTCATCTACATTCACCTCAACAACCGCAGAAGCTAAGAAGCTGGAATTTAACAAAAATCTTCCTAGTCTACGTGCTGCCCAGGCAACTTTCTATGAATGTTCTTGTACACCCGACTCTCAAGTACGGGCGCCTATAATAAACGTAAACTTTTGCTGGCAAAACGATTTCGGGAACCATTTCAACTATCACACATACCTACATAACGCATGCGGAAACGTCAAAGTTAGAATCCAGAAAATTTTGGTGAAATGCTAACTCGAAAATCAGACTGGGTTGAGTGACCTGTAATCAAAAGAAAATTTGTTGTTCATACGGGAGCGTATGGACGTAGAATAAGCTTTGGTATATGCTTGTGTGCCGCATTCGGCACGTCAAAGTTATTTATAACGATAGGTGGATTTCGCCAACCAGTCAAGTTAGGCAGCTGATATTTTACGAGAATATTCTATGTCCATATGCAACCTAAATGTTTCAAATTCAGCGTTAAAGTGTACTTAGAATTCGAGTGCGAGCAAGTGGAAGTTTGGTTTGAGGCACTGTTGGCATCCAATTAACTCAGTAACCAGACTAAGCAAGGGAAGTATTTTTCCGGGTATAATTTTGTACACGTGCGGGATAGCAAGCGTAAAATGATCTTCTTTTTGGGCATGTACTCTGCGTACGGACGTGTTAAATATTCAAACTGCAACACTTTTTGCTTCGTTCTCTCTCAACAATTAGGAAGCCAAGAAAGCAGAATGTCGGCGTATCTTGTGTGTCACCAAATCGTAAAATCAGCTTTCACTGCCTGTGTCTTCTGCACGGGCATACGCACCCTGCATTTTGCCAACAAATTCTTCATGCCAAATCACATTAATCATACATGCTGGAGGTTAAGATTTCACGCAGCCCCATAATTCAGTACCACCATTCCAGTCGATGCGCGTTTTCTATTTTGCGCGTAAGGAAAGGCAAAAATTTTGCCAACATGAGTGCACGTGTCAAACTGCAAAGCAATAATCATTCATACTGTTGTAAACAATGTGATAATTCCAAGATTTATGCAGAAATGCATGAACACACCGGCAGCTGTGGTGCATATGCTACCTGGATTTCATTTTGATGGTATGCGAGCTGTTTGTTTTATGACTACAGGGCTGCGTCTTCGTCATCCTCTTTGATCGTTCATATTTTCATGCTGGTCGAACTGATGACGATTCGCACTTTATAAGCGCAACCAGAAAAAATCCAGTGTATCCCCCGTTTATCGAAAGTTATTACACTATAATCTCATCGTATTTCAAAGATAACAAAAAGGTAAATGTCCGCATCCGCAGACATTTACCCTTTTGTTATTTTCGCCTTTCAATTCTTTTTCTGTCGACATCCTTGAAGACTTTTCTTCCCATTATCCCTTTTGATATTTTGTTTTATCCTATTTGTCATTTTCCGCACTTTGGTGCATTCCAAATTCCTCCAGAAAACTATTACATCGTCTTTTGGGGCAGATCTTATACTCCTGTATAGGTCATCCGGCCCATCCATCGGGCTTTGGGCTTTATGTTTTCCTCGGACTTTTGTTTACCACCAGCGTCGTCTCTACATACTCATTTCCCATTGAAACCATCGTCGTCCGCTGACGCGTCCTCTGCTCTTACGCTCGAGGCCCAATTGTTAATTGACATCTCGGGGAGGCCACTAAATTTCTCCCACTTGCTTGTTCAGTACTCGGCATCTCTTGCCCGGCAAGTTCCTCAGATCCAAAGCACTACACTCCGTGCTCTTTTATCTTCGGTTGGCACGCTGCATCACCAGTAAACCATAAACATACTTTTGTTACTCAATATTGCGTATACGGTCAGGGCACCACGCCACAGTCCACCACATTTAACTAGTCCCCCCTAAATCGTAAAAATTTTTACTGTGAGCACGAAATTAACGAGAGCTAGTGTCTGTTGGTTCACACTAATAAATCATTTTAGCCTGCTTTTTTCTCCTCAGCAATAGAAAACTAAAATTCTGTTTCGTCAAGTGCCACGAACGAAGAAATATGGAAAATTAGCATGATCAGTGTTCAAACAGAAAGTAAAATCATACTGTTTGTGTGATAGCATCAGCATCGTAACCCTTTATCATCCGTATTGTCCAGACAGCATTCGTTTCCGGTGTCGGGATGCAAAGCAAGGCTAAGGATTCCATAAGATCCTTTAACAAAACGTTATTTTGAATTCCTCTTTTAGTTTTCACTGAATAAATCTCTTAAAACAAACCCTTTCAAATGGACGATTTATTTGAGTTGCTCACAAGGTGTTCATAGCACTGCTTTCTCAAATTTCGTTATTTACGCGTTATAAATCGCTACAAAATTGATTTCAACTTTTAACTAAGCTCTCAGTCGCAAAACGCAAAAAAGTGAAATGCTCAGTACCTGAAAAGTCATTTCTTCTTTGCCATTAGCAAATGCTGTGAATAACCTCAGGATGTATTCATCGTTAAGGCGCGCCGGCAAATAAGTGCCGAACATTTTCTTGAATTTCGCTACTCGCATCCTGCCTGTTGGGCATTCCTGCAGCAACATTCCATTTTTAGCCAGCAAAATTAAGCTGAGATATAGCTGTAAAATTTCAGCGACGGAAATTTCAAGTGTAGTTTCCTAATGGTCATCCATTAATCTTCGTCGACGACATTTTACCTAATTTTCCTTCTCTCCTCCAAAATCAACACTGAATTGGCAGATTTAATTATTCTGTCTGTGGTGCTCATCTCAAAAACCGGTGCAAGCGTGTGGTTTTTTGAACAAATTATTTTATCTCAAAATGAATGAATTAGCCAACAAAAATAAAAGAAATCTTTATTTCACAGTATGTGTCGGGCCAATTTAAAATTAGCTTTCAGGTGCCTTGTTTCTGACTTCAGATCTGAATTCGAGGCTGTGTTTTTGAATAACCCAAAAAAAAGCTTGAATTTCATATTTAGGCTCAGAAATGATTGGATGACAAAATGCAGTTAGCTTTCAAGTCTTATTATTTCTTGACTTACAGCCACTGCTAAAATTTATTATTAAATTACAGCCAGAAGTTCACAGTGAAGCACATTTACAAATTCGCTGTTTCTGTAATTTAAATCGCAGCTACAGGGCAGCCAGTGGGGTTAAAAGCAGCATTAAAATTCTTCGCTCCTCACCTTTAGCTTTAAAAAGTCTAATCTGTAAGACGAAATGAATTCGGTTTTTCAGAACTGCGAAATATTTAGAGATCGTTCAAGCAATAAAATCTTACTGAAAATACTCCTAGAAAGAGAGACGCAGTGTGCCCGCAAAAATGAAAAATGCATGATATTACCAACTGCTTCGTATGCCTTATTTTTTATACAGAGTAAGGTCAGAAGGACGAGTAGGACTGTTTCTCCGTGTTCGACCCATCAGGGTTTGTATGTTATTCTACCTATTCGAACAAAATTTAGTTTATGAACAAGGAAGAATTGCATTTACAGTTTTGGAAGCAGAAAGAAAGCACTAAGAAATACATTCTCTGATATCTACTGAACAAAGCAAGTAAACCACAGCCAGGATGTTCGGTTTCCCAAACAGAAATATTTAGTAGGTCGTCAACTCGTGCACGGATACTTTGCAAGCATTCAAGCGCAAGCAATACATGGCCCTAAAAGCAGGCTTGGAACAAGTACAGCTTGAAGGATGTGTGTAAAATAAGTCGAATGCAGCACAAACGCACACTTGGATCCTCATGGTAAAAAAGGAAATTTGAAGGGGTATAATAAGACAATGCAGGCGTGTTTTTTTTTTTTTTTTTCAGAAAAGGCGCTTCCAAAAAATTTCAGTTGAGGGATTTAGCAGTTTTGAATCTGTTACTTTTCAAAATACGTACAACAGGACAATCGGGCTGGGGCGGGAGAAGGTAAAGGAAGAGGAATACTCATTTTCGAAGAATGTAAGATAAAACATTTTTTTAAACGGTACTTTAAATTTTATTCATTTACTTTGGCACTGTGCTGCTTCATAGACGTAATCCATTATACCAGGAGTGTAATTCGCAACTTCGTTATCCCGATCTTATAGGTTCATGCAATTTCATGCAGGAAGACTTTCAAGTAGCTTCCTCTATCTCACTGACACCACTGGCAGCATTAAAATTCACACTAAGTGAACAACAGTCAACAACGTCGCTACATGACAGTCTCAAATCTTCCTCTTGTCACATACTATCTTAACAACGCTGTTGCCACGGATCAGATCTGCCGAAGCCGAACTATAGTGTGGACTGAGGTACGCCGCAATCTGATGACGCCTTCACTGCTCATTTTACATTTACATTTTTATGCTTTTTGCATGCATGCAAACGAAACCCAGGCTGCAACACATCAGGCTTGTCGATGTGATCATGCGTTTTTACATTAAACTTGCAGGTCATTAATAGCAAGGATGATTCCTGAGCTGTAGCCTAACGCTTGGACTCGTATTGGCCATGTTTTGGTCTCTTCCAGCATACAAGGGGAAAGTTCGTCTGCTGGGATGAAAATGTTGCATTACAGATCCGCATGGACCTCCAAGTACATGATTATCAGTTTTTTGTATGAAACCCGATCGTTTTTTAGATGAGCGCTCGCTCACTGCAAAAAAAAAACGCAATTTTGAGGGAAATCGGAAGAGGATTATGAAGCTTGCAAAACGCACTCGTTTTTGAGTTTGCGATAAAATTGAATATTTATCATGCTTACTTGCAGGGAATTTCACCTCCAAACTAAATTAAGGCCACACATAAAAGCAGAATATCCTAGCAGACTTTTATCCTCGCATCTTATCCGGTAAGCGGAATAGCCACCTCGCTACAGACATTTTTGAAGTACCCTAAGTTGTGGCGCAAGTACAAATCAAAACTCAACTTAGGTATATAACTTTCCATATGAACGATAAAAATTTTGAGAAAATTTCAGCCAGTGTTTTCCAACTAGTTTCCGAGTTGGCACAGTGTCAAGTGCAAACTTTGACATGATCGTATGCGCTGTACAAGCATCCGCGACAGCTGAGTCTGAAATCTTTAGCTCGCGCATGCACACAGAATATCCCTACAAAGTTTTATCTTTGTACCTTGCCTAATTTGCGGAATCGTATCCCATCAAAGGAATTTGCACATTTTTTCGGAGGTTCGTTCGCGAGATCCAGGCGCGTATGAGCAAAAATTTTAAAAAGGGAAGATGACACAAAGGGTGGAATATACTCCCAAAACTTCAACCTTTCAGTTTTCCTGGTTATTGAATTGAAAGTGGATGACAAAGTTCACTCCGAACACATACACTCGGTTCTGAACACATACATACATACACACACACACACACACACACACACACACGACGACTTTTCGACAATGTGCGTTTTTGCTCATTCAAGCAGCGCTATAGCGCTGCGCAGCAAAAACGCATAAAAACTTATACTGTGACGACGTGTGTGTGCGTGTGTGTGCGTCCAGTTCGATAAGCAGACAGCTCCGGCCCTAATGTTTTACCAGGGCGTTCCCCGATCAAGTACCATCTCAGGACGACGGTACCAACCTTCATGCACGTCTGACCCTCGCACACAAGCACTTAAAAGTTTTGGCGGGGAAATCGCTAACTCGGAAACCAGGAAAGCTGAGAGGCTGAAATTTCAATGGGATCTTCCCAGCTCATGTGCAAATTAAAGAATTTAAATTCAGCCCCCCGGCATGCGTGGTTCTCACGTACGACCTCGTAAAGGCTCTTGAAGGGAAAATCGCTGACTCGGGAACCAGAAAAGCCGGGAGGACGAAATTTTAAGGGGTTGTTCCCAGCCCATCTACAACTTAAGAATTTCAAATTTAGTCTCCAGGTTCGCATGTTTCTCACGTACAGCCCGTTTATTTCTTTTGCTAATTCAGCAACTTGAAAACTGAAAAGCTGAAATTTTGGCGAAATGTTCCTTCCCAAGTGCCACGTAGTTGCACAATTAATTTTCTGAACTTCGAGGACCAGTTGTCACAAATTCTAGCTGCTCGGATTCTAAGCGATCTTTCCAATGCGCGAAATACTGCAAAAACGTCATGATCGCACGGGCTCTCCCGGTGCGCATCACCTACGATTTGTTATTAAGCCACCATTTATTTAATCAGCCACCGTTTTATCGCCGCATTAACGCAGGACAAAAATTTTTCATGGTGCTACTTCGAAACTACATCATCCAGTGATCAATCCACTCGTTTTACTGCTTTTTTTTCTTTCCTCAGATAGAAAATGCGAGATTTGTTGCGCGAATTCCTAGCCCTATTCGTGTAATTCTCCAACTTTGCTTTAATAATCCTGCGTTTCTTTTTGTCCTTAAAAGAAACAGGTGGTTAGAAGATACAAAATCAGAAAAAGTACTCGAAAGCGTCCGATTTCAGTTGCAGAGATACTAAAAGTCACAGATGAAGATGTCTTTTAAAGTGCCAGCTCAAAAACTCAGGCAGCGACACACCATGCTTATCGGTGCGGTCAAGCATTTTTGTATGATTTCATCCTGCAGAGAGATTTACTGTATTACTTGTCTGTCTGCGGTGTTGTAGTTCAAAAATTTCATGAGACTGTACACTAAACCTACGCCTGTGCAGAAGTTGATCTTACACTTAATGACCTGCACATGAACATCCAACATCCTCAGAAAAATGCATTCCTTCCTAGACTGATTACTGCATCAGTTGGATGCCGACAGTGTCCCGGGCCAAACCTTCGTGTGTTCGCGTGCGAAGCTCAGGCGTATTTTAAAGCCGAACTTGAAATATTTAGATGGCATATCCGCACATAATATCCTCGTAGCGTTCCAGCTTTTTAACTTCATTGGCTTACATAATCGCTTTTCGCCACACGCGTCTTTAACATATCCTAACGCTCGACAGAGGCGCATGCCAGCACTGAATTTGTGCCAACGTGCCCAGCCGGGGAAACGAATATTCTCGTAAAGTGAGACCGCTCTAATCAGCTTAGTCAGCGATGACGAAATCTCAACTTCGTTGTATCAGCATACGGGCCGTAGCTTGTTTTGAAACTGTATTTGAAATCTTTAGCCTACAGAAGAATATGGATCATTCCTGCAAAACTTCCGCTTCCCATCTTCTCTGCTTTCCGAAGTCGTTTCCCCACCATAAATTTTGCGTGAATTCTTTAAATGTCCATACGTGGAAGCCAAGTGTACATTGGCGTTAATTTTAAGTTGTTTGACTGGCATGTGGGCTAGGAGCGTTTTTGTGAAATTTTAGCTTTCTAGTTTCTGTGGTTGCTGTGTTAAATATGCGTAAGAAAATTCCGAACACAAACACATACATAAACACACACATCCATAACTCCTCGGTAGCGTGCACTTTTGCATTTGCATAAAGGCGCAAAAACACAAGATGAGCAAGCGATTTTCAGCTGTCATTTTAAATATTTTCAAAAATCCCTTCTCTTTTAAATATTCTTTTTCCATATCTCCAGGATGCGAGGGGAAACTCGAGGCTGGAACGAACCGTGCTTGCGGAGAAGTCATGCGCATTTGTGCTAGGCTTGCAGCGACCAGAACGTTAAAAGCATGAT